TGTGCATCTCTTCCTAGGTCTATTCTTAGACCCTCTGTCTCTTCTGTTGCTATAGTAAGTGTGGCCACCACTTCCACTAGGCCCTGTCAGTAGACAGCGTTGGTATAAATGGAGAAGCTATTGATTTCTTTATTTTAATTTTAGATTCAGCCAACTCACTGAATTTTTCCATCTTTATTTTTTGAGATAAGCATCACACTGTGTAGCCCAGGCTGTCCCCAAGGTCGAAGTCTTCCTGCCTTCAATGCCTGGGTACAGGAAGTTCCACCACACTTGGCTTGAGTATTTTATTTTGCAACAAAACTCCAGGTATAAATGATATACCTGCAAGCCATGTTGATTTTACCTCCCTTATTTCTATTCTTAGATAACACAGATAATCAAATGTTCCATCCCTGTATGTTCAACTAGTGGAGTGGGTTGGCAGTGGCACCGAACTCCATGCTGTCATTCAGGGCCCCAGGTTCTTTCCACCTTTGGGATCAAGATCTCTGTAAGCCCTTAGAGTAATTCAGCAGATCTCCTGGAGGTGGTTTAGGAGAAAGGCCTACAATGAACAGATCTTACTTTTACCCAAATTTTATAGGCTCAAACTTAAATATGTAGCCCCACCCAATTGCAGAGAAAGCTGTGTACATCTGCGTGCTAGAGGGCTGATTCAGTGGGCAAAGGCACATGCTGTGCAAATGTGAGGACCCAAGTTTTGATTCCAGCACCACATTTAAAAAAATAAAAATAAAAAACTAGCCAGGCCTGGCAGCACACACTTTTAATCCCAGCATTTGGAGGCAGAGGCAGGTGGATCTCTATGAGTTCAAGGCTACCTTGATCTACACAGTGAGTTCTAGGACAATAAGAACTACATAGAGAGACCCTGTCTCAAAATAAATAAATTTCAAAAAATAAAATGAAATACTAAAAACACTGGCTGTGGCTGTGCATATGCTTGTAACCTCAGCAGCTGAGGGAGAAGGGTCATGTGGACTTGCTGGCCACCAGCCTATCAGAAAAACAGCAAGCCCCGGCTTTAATGAGAGACCCTGTCTCAAGAGAATAAGTCAGAGAGCCATAGAGGAAGAAACCTGATGTTCACATGCATCCGCACACAGTATACACACATGCACACACTTGAAGAAATGTAGTCAGGATCAGAGAGATGGCTCAATGATTAAGAGCACTTGTTGCTCTTGCAGGGAATCCAGGTTCTGTTCTCAGCTCCTACGTGGCAATTAATAACCATCTGTAACTCCAGTTCCAGGGATCTGATGGCCTCGTCTGACCTCTGCAGGCAGCACACACACACACACACACACACACACACACACACACACACACACACGAGAGAGAGCGAGAGAGAGAGAGAGAGAGAGAGAGAGAGAGAGAGAGAGAGAGAGAGTAAAATAAGAAATGTAGCCCAGCTGTGTGCCAGAAAAAAAGGGGAAGGTAGGCAGGAAAAAGCGAGCAAATATACTTGTCTCACAAGCCACCAGGCCTAAATTCCATCTGCAGAACGCACACACAGGTGGAGGGAGAGGACCATCTCCACAGAGTTACTCTCATGGCCACACGGACACAGTGGCATGTGTGTCCATACACATGTCATACCCTCACACACAATAATACAACTTTTTTTGAGGCCGTCTTACTGGGTCGTCTTAGCTGACCTGGAACTCACTCTGAGAACCAGCCTGGCCCCAGGCAGGCTCCCAGAGATCGGCTTGCCTCTGCTTCCTGGGTTCTGGAATTAAAGATGGCAGTAACTAATCATTTTTAAGATGAGTGGCTGTGGAGATGGTTCAGTGGGTGCAAGTCTGAGGCTGGGATTTGGATCTCCAGCACCCATGTTAATGTCTGGCGGACTTGGTGGCCTTCCTGCAATCCCCGCACTCCGGACGTGGACACAGGATGCCCCAGCCTGGCAGAGTAGAGCACTCTGGCACAAGTGAGACTGTCTCAGCCAGGAACAGTGGAGAGCGGAAGAAAGGGATACCAGCCCTCAACTTTGACCTGCACTTGCATGCGTATCCACACACAGGAACACTTGTACATGCATACCGCGCGCGCGCGCACACACACACACACTTTCAAAAAAAATAAAGAAAATTTATTTTAATAGAAAAAAATTGAAATTGCCACTTCTCAGGACCCCCCAAAAAGCTCCATTTCTCCAAATTCTGGCAATTAGACAAAAGCCAGATTCCTCAGGAACTTGTGCAGCTGGTTCCCCTCTACCAAAAATAGTCATTTCCCTTTTCATCGGCAGCAGGGACAAATGGCTATCTGTGGTGCCTATTAGCACACCAAAGGCCATGCTGGCCTCCAGGCTCCCTCAGTAACTGCTACACATTTCAGAGCCCATGTTAGCATCCAGGCTCTTCTCACCTCCTCCCCTACCCCACACTCCTTCCAGCTCACAGCCTTCCCTCCCCCAGCAACTCTGCTATTTCAGTTATACTCACCCCCCCTCTCTTTCTCCTCCCCCTCTCTCTGCCCCACCCCACCCCCTGCTCCTGCTTCTCATGGCCAGGTCCAGTCTGCTGGCCGTGTTGAGTCTATTATTTTCTCTCTCTGCTCTTGCAGATGCCTCTGCTGTTTTCTCCATCATAAAACCTTCTCCCCTTAATCATACCATGGAGCAGTCATTTTTGTCAGTTTATATAACACTATTGCTTGCAACCAGTATGTCTTTTTGTTGTTGTTGTTTTGTTTTGTTTTTTGAGACAGGGTTTCTCTGTGTAGCCCTGGCTGTCCTGGAACTTGCTCTGTAGACCAGGCTGACCTTGAACTCAGAGATCTATCTGCCTCTTCCTCCTGAGTGCTGGGATTAAGAACATGTGCCACCATGCCTGTCTAATACTCAACCAGTCTGTCTTTTTAAATTTTCTTTTAAAGATTTATTTATTTTTATAAAATTTGCTTGAATTTATGTACATATACCATGTGTACACCTGATACCTTTTGAGATCAGAAGAGGGCATTAGCTGTCTTGGAACTGGAGTTAGAGACAGTTGTGAGCTGCCATGGGGATGATGGGAACAAATCGTCTACAAGAACAGTTGGTGCTCTTACCCACTCAGTCATCTCTCTAGTCCCTTAAGGAAAAGTTGTGCCAAGCAGAACCTCATGGCTATACCCTTAGGGATTGCCAAGTATGCATGGCAAAAGAGTTATGAGTGGGTATGATAATGTGCGCCTGTGATCCTAGTACTTGGGAGGCAGAGACAAGAAGAGTGTGAGTTTAAGGCCAGTCTGTCCACATAGTGAATTCCAGGACAGCCTGGGTGACATAATGAGACCCTGTCACAACAACAACAGCAAACGAACAAAACAAAAGGAGCAAAGAAACTATTGCTGCTCGTAGTCTGATTACGTCATTTCCCTCGTTCATATGCTGAAATCTAATCACTTAGGTATGGTATTGGTTAAGACACTGGACCTGTATGAGCTGGTTATATCATGAAGGCTTCACTCTCATGAACGGGATAGGAGCAGAGTCCTTTAAAAAAAAAAAAAATGCCCAGTTGAAGGAGAGGGCAGGGAACCCAGCAACAGAGGTAGAGTTCTTGCCTACCCCAAAAACCCTGGGTTTGATCCCCAGCACAGCAAAATAAATAGATAAAAATAAAAGGCCTAGCCTACAGTCTTTCCCTGAAGCAATGAAAGAGCTAGACCATGCCAGTCTCCATAAAAAAAATGTCCTAAGGCTCAGAGCAGGTTAAGTAAGTGGGCAGAGGCCATCTAGCTAGAAAACAGCGGAGCCAGGACTCAGAGCCAGAGCTCTTCCCACAGCCCCTTGCTGCCCCCCACAAGTCCAATCCATATGCTGAGGCCTGTGCTAAGAGCCTTGTGGGAGAATTCAATCGATAAGAACCAGCCCTGGTCTGGAGGAGTTCACCTCAGAAAAGCCCAAGAGCAGCCCATTTGCCAAGACGGAAAAAGACCAGCTCAGGACAGCAGGAGAGGAGATGACGCGTGCTTCGGTGCCAAATGCACGGCTCCAACAGCGTGGGCAGAGAGATGCACTTTAGGCTGAACTGCACAGTCGGTGAAATCCCCAGAGACAAAGCAGAGCACATTGTGATGCACTCTGTGCATGTAAATCATCCCGGGGACACTTCAGATTCAGGCCCTTGCCAGTCAGTGCATTGCCACGGACCTGCCAGGGGTAGCTAAGGCTTTACATTCCAGCCCAGCTGCCTGCATCCCGGGGTTTGTCATGGGCTAAAAACCTCAGGGATTGGTTGAAAGTTTATGGGATAAAAAAGCCATTCAAGTTGTCCTTAACCATAGGAAGCTGTGCTCTGTCTCACACAGACTGAAGGTCTAGTTGTCAGTGGCCTTTAGACATGGCCGGGCCCAGGACTCCTACTGTACTCTGGGGACTTGTTCTAGTTCTTAGCCCTTGCTTTGCTCTTGAGCAGGTTTCGTCCCCTATGACAGACACTTGATGTTCAAGACTGATAGCCTTTTAGGATTAGGTCTAAAGGAAAGGAGTTTTTGTTTTGTTTTTTGTTTTGTTTTCCCAAAACCTATTTTGGAAGGAGACCTGGGACTTATTCTGGGCCATCCCTTTTAAACTGGCCAGAATGTGATGTGAAGTTCTGGTCTATGAGACATGCACATTCCGACTCTGGCCAGATCAGTGCTGTCACTCTCCCCTTCCAGACCTTGGTAACTGTGGAGAGATGGTGCTGAAGGACAACACTAGTGAAAGAATTTCTCAGAGAAAAAAGCCCTCAGCCTGGCATCTCTATTGAGAGATGGGATTAAAAAGAGGCCCCAGGTGGGGGGAGAGGGCGAGGAAACCTCCCCAGCATAGACTAAGTCTCAGTCCATTTGTGATACAAAGTATCATAAAGTAGCGCTACAAGCAAAAGACGTTGGCCAAGATTCCAGAGGTTACATACCACCCCTCCACCCCCCCCCACTCCCCCACCCTCCACCCCCACCCCCTCATGCCCCCACCCACCCCCAGCTGAGGACTGAACCCAGGGCCTTGGGCTTGCTAGGCAAGCGCTCTACCACTGAGCTAAATCCCCAACCCTGAGGCTACATACCTTATGGGGAACCAGTGTAAAGGAAGGGACCAAAGATAATCTCCAAAGGTACAACTTGAATGACCAACTTCCTCCAACTAGGCTCCACTCCTGGAGTTTCTAGAACCTTCCAAAATAACACCACCAGCAATAGTTGCCATTTCATATTCAAGCAAGTACAGATGCCAATCCCATTTATGAGATCTCTGTCTTCATGACTTAATAGCTGACCAAAGACCCCACAGCTTGCTTGCTTTTGACTGGTGCTTGTATACCTCAGGCTGGCCTTGAGCTTAATAGGCAGTGGAGGATGAGTCCAGCACAAGCATTCTACTAATTGAGTCCCCTCCCCTGTTGGGGGATATTCAATCACACCGTGAACCTCGTTTGCATTTCTGTTAATTAAATAAAATTAACCTGGGTCAAGAGGCTGAGTTAGCAACTAGTTGACAGAAAGTGATCAGAGAGCATCAGAGAGCATCTGGAAGAGATAGAGAGATGCGCCGGAAGTAGCAGGGAGGGATTTTTAAGTAGCATATTTTTGTTTGTTTGTTTGTTTTGTTGTTGTTGTTTTGGTAGAGCAGAAGGATACTCTCTTTGGGAGAAGCTAGCAAGGCTACTCAACTTCTCTGAGCTAGCAGGTTTTCACCCCAACCTTTTAAATCTTGAGTCTTATTTATAAATAGGAAAATAGAGATTTAGTTAAAGCTACCTTTATTGGCAGCCACAGGGCTGCTGCCTGCAAAGGAGAATTCCTGCCAGGCTGTGGCCTGAGTGGCCAGGCTGCTGCCAGAGAAGCAGGTTGGTAACTTCAGAGTCACAGTTGCTGGTTGAAATAGCAGTAGATTAAGGTGTAGCCACCTGAAGTTAAAATATCACTCTCCTTTTAATGTTATTATGAGAATTTGACTCAACATATGAGTTTTGGATGGATACAAACACTCAGACCATAGTGACAATGTAGTGGTCACAAGGCCTCTAGTGGATATGTCTAGTTTTCCTTCAAGCTCAGTTTCTTAAGTCTGGTTTGCACAAAAATTGGCACAGAGGGCTTTGTTTGTAGCTCACTTGGTAGAGTGTCTGCCTAGCGCATGAAGCCCTGCATTCAGCCCCCAGTACTGCATTAAACCTGGCTTGGTGACTCAAACCTGTATGCCCAGCACTTGGAAGGTAGGGGCAAGAGGACCAGAAAAGTTCAGGTTTATCCTTGGCTGCACAGACAGTTCAAGACCAGCCTGGGATACGTGAGCTCCTGTCTCAAAAGAAACATCAGAGGGGAGACAGCAAAGCAGGAGAGCTTCTTGACTGACAGCGGTTGGAACCCCGGCTCTGCTTCTGTCTGCTTCCGGCCACCACTCGCTGCTGCAACACCTAAGAGAGAGGAAGGTTGCTGAGACCAGTCCTGGAAGAGCATCATCTCCTCACCCTCGCACAATGTATACCTACGGAGAGCCAAAGGACCTGTAGCCAGCTGACGGGAGACAGCAGGAGTCAAAGAAAAACGGCCAACTATTTGTAGCTCATATTCCCAATGAAGGGGCATTCTGCCTACTCTACAGAGCCCTTGAAATTATAATAAAAAGATCAATGATCCAATAAAAAAAAAAGCTAGTCTCTAAAGAAAGACTTCCCTATGAAAAGATGGCAAGGCCATTCATAATCAGAGAAATGGCTAAATAAGAGGCTATTTTTACTTACTGCCCCCCCCAATGCTCAAAGTTAGACAATTTGTCGATATTTAGACATTTTGATAATAAGAGTATCTATCCTGATCCCTTCAGGAATTATCTTAGTTTTCTTCTGTTCTCCACAAGCAAACTTCTAAAAAGAACTATGTGGTATTCTTGTGGCATTCTCACGTCGTTAAATAGAAAGTAAATGCAGTAATCATTCTTGGTACAGATCTTCCATGTTAGCTTTGCCTCACTGTAATGAAATACCTGATAGAGAGAAGGTTGTCGCTAAGCGGTGGTGGCGCACACATTTAACCCCAGTACTTGGGAGGCAGAGACAGGCAGATCTCTGAGTTCGAGGCCAGCCTGGTCTACAGAATGAGTTCCAGGACAGTCAAAGCTACACAGAGAAACCCTGTTTTGAAAAATTTAGAGAGAGAGAGAAGCTTGTTAGGTCTCAAAGAAACCTGGGACAAAAGGCTAACTAAGGTGCCTATTTCACATAGCAAAGCAGACTCTGGCCACCGGTCTCTCTCCCTACTCACGAGTACCCGTTACAGGGTCATCTTGGCTGGCATTCCCCACCCCAAACCCTCAACCTCTCCAACCCCTGAGCTCCAATCCCTCCCCCAGCTTCTCTGACTCCTACATAACCCAGCTATTTTAGCCGCACGCCCTCTTGGCCTCTTGGTTCCCGGGTGCTCTCTCTGCTCCCTCTCTCTTTTCTTCTCCTCTTACCCCCCACTTCCACAGTCTGGTTCAGTCTACTGGCCGTGTTCAGTCTAGACCCTTTCAGGTACCTCTGGCTGTTTTATTCCTCACACCTACAACAAATCTCCTCCTGAACCATACCTAGGAGGCACCGCATCCTCATTTTTTCCCCCAAAGTTTCTTTTGGCTCAGTGATTTGGAGGGTCTGATCTACCTTCGGTTAGCCCTGCTGCTCTAGACTGTGGGTCCAAAGCTGCTTCTCATGTAGCACACTGATAGAGTGCTTGCTTAGCATGTGCAAGGCCGTAGCTTCTACCCCCAGTAGAGAAAAACATAGTGATGGGTAAGCAGCGCCGGTGGCGGCACTGGTTACTGGTGGAAAAGTCACGAGCCACGGCCGTGACCGCCAGAGTTCCAGAGAGCTTTATTAGAAGGAGAGGATAGGAGGGAGGAGAGCCAGGCCTATGGGGAGGGAGAGATGGCGGGAGCAGAGCAGAGAGCAGAGAGGGAACAGAGAGAGGGGGGGGGGTGTCCACGTCCAGCTTTTTTAAAGCACAGATTACGTGACCACGTAGTAGCCAGCACCCCCGGATGACGTAAGACGCAGGACCCTGAGCTGCGCATATACAGGATCCTAACACAAAGCACATAAAAAACCAAAACCAACCAAACAACAGGAACAAAAAAAAACCCTGTTCTTCACAGCCAGGGAGCAAAAGAGGAAGGACCCGTGGTCCTAGACCCCTTGGAAAGCAAGCCCCTGACAGACGGTGGTGGCACACGCCTTTAATCCCAGCCCTTGGGAGGCGGAGCCAGGCGGATCTCTGTGAGTTCGAGGCCAGCCTGGCCTACAGAGCGAGATCCAGGACAGGTACCAAAACTACACAGAGAAACCCTGTCTTGAAAACCAAAAACCCAAAAACAAACAAACCAGCAAAAAAAGCGAGCCCCTCTCCTTACATGCCCCTAAGGACTTCCTGCAAGGCCAAGCCTATCAGAGGCTCTGCCACCTCCCAAAGATAGCACTTAGTTCCTCCAGGGCTGCTGAGCTGAAGGAAGTGAAGAGCAGCTACTTTGTTGCCTGGGGGAAGACGCTTCTAGCCAAAGGCACAGGAAGTGTGAAGACACTTGAGTACTGAGAACAGCCGCCTGTATCATTCCCACATGCTTTCCGGCTGTTTCTGTTTCTTTCGAAACTTCCAGTTCATGGTCTGTGGCTTGTTGTCATTGTCCTTGTCAGAACTAATTTTGTATTGCAGACGTGGCTCTTTGTGTTGCATGCTTTAAAAATAGTTTACCACTTGCTTTGATTTCGTTCCTAGTACCTATTATTGTGTAGACTTCCCCACCCCCAATGCAGGATCCTGAAACCAGAGCCTGTACTCTTTGTTTGTTTTTTTGTTTTTTGTTTTTTAATTTTTGATAGTCATATCTATGATTCACCTGCTTGGTACTGACCTAGAACACCTCCCTTGTGAATATTTTGACATATTTGTTTTCTTTTGTTTTATCAAGACAGGACCTCAACATGTCAACCGGGCAGGCCTTGAACTCATGGCCCCCTTGCCTCTGCCCCAAGCGTGCTGGAATTACAGAGGTGTGCCACCATGCCTGGCCCATTAATCTTTTAAAAAAATTCATTCATATTTTATTCTAATTATTTTATGGTTTTATTTTTAACTTTGGAATTTTTGATCCATCTGTTGTTTCCTACGCATTGAACAGTGCGGCATCTGGTCACTGAGAATCTAGATTTATATCTTTATGAAGACTTGGAACTGCCCACCTTCGTACTAATTTGAACCCTTTGGCTCAAACCTACTGCATCCGGCTGAGCTGCGTGAAACAGAGGCTGCCGCTTGCAGAATCCGCCCACAGGGGGCACCAGAGGAGGGTGAGCTTCTGACGGGAAAAGTGCTTCAGTTCCTAGGCCCCGGGGTGTTGCTTTGAGATGGCTGGAGAAGGAGAACGTTAGCCTTCCCACCATTCTCTCAGACCCCACAAACGGTGCAGTCAAAGAAACACGTGACAAAGTTCAAGGGTGTGCTTCATCTCCATGCTGCTCACACTGAACCTTTTCCCTCTCCCAATCACGTCTGTCTCCAGAACCTTCAGATCCTACAGAAAAATTCTGATACTTCTCATACTGGGTTGGAAGGAGAGCTCAACAAGGCCTGTGGCAGCTGCTTTTTCACTGGTGAGCTCTGTACACAGTTCACCTGCCCACCAACCTTCTCCCAGAATTCACCCAAAGGTGCCCATCCGAAGGGAATCAGCAGATCCTCTCCTGCTTCCTCCTCCTCAATGCCACCTTACCAGGAAAACAGTCCAAACCAGGAGCAGAATCTGGTTGTCCTGGTTGCTTTTTTTAATCAATCCACCACAACTAGAGTTATCT